CTAACAGAAGTACTGGGAACATTAAGCTTTCGTGGGTAAGAACCTCACTTCTTGCATCTGAAGAAGTGAGGTTCTTACCCACGAAAGCTTAATGCTCCCAGTACTTCTGTTAGTCTCAAAGGTGCCACAGGACCCTCTGTTGCTTTTTATTTGTTATTTGTATTGTGATAGCCTGTAAGAGCACCCCTAATGGACCAGGGACACATCGTGCTAGGCACGGTACAAATACGAAACAAAACTGCTCCTATGAGTTGGCAAGCAAAGTAGTAAAAGGTTTGGAAGATAAAAAGACAGAAGTTAGGGGAAAGAGAATAACAATAAGCAATTTGTCTACAAATTAAAGGCGACGGGGGCTAAGCTTACATTTGTGGCCTGTATTCCTTTCTCTTGCTGATTTCCTAAGCCAAGTTACACAAGTTCACTGTAGTATAAATGCCATGTACTGAAAAGCTGCTAAAATTGATACCACAGTGTTGGCTCTGAAAGTGATTTTCTCTTCAGTGTAGAGGGCCTGTGAAGGCCTTGGCATCACGTAAGTCTTATTTTGGGAGTTTATGTAGCACCTAAGTGGGATTTCAGTGGCACATAGGCCATGTACACATAAGGGAACGTTTCCCTGTATGCAGTATTTAACCTCTCTCTGTTATACTTCAGAGCATTCCTACTGATAAGCATTTGAGTCCCAGGTCAGCAAAGTATTTAAGTTTGTACTTAAATCCATCCCTATTCAGCAAAGCACTTAAGCCCATGCTTAACTTTAAGCCCATTCTTAATTACCACTGAAATCAAAGGCAAAGCACGTGCCTAAAAGTAAGTGCTTTGCTGAACAGGGATGGGCTACTGAACTGGGGCCTCGGATTCTAATCCTGCTCTGTTTTGTCTTCTAGATTTTACAGCTTTACTTGTTGATATTATTGGAAACTCCACCAGTTACCTCACAGAAATTTTCAAATCAACCTCCATCGTCTCAGGTGTGCATTTCTTTTTATCATTGTCCTGTTCACTCCTGGAACATAGAAAGGGCATGTTATGAACACTAAGGTGGTAGCTATCCGCACTGCTTCACCAGCAGTATTGACCTCACAGAATAGGGACTGCAACTGTAAACCATCACCTTGAGAAAATATTTTTATTAAAACTCTGTTTCATAATGTAATGAATTATTGTCAGCGTCTTTGTAACATATGACCAACAATGTAAAGGGATTAATTTAAGGCTGGATTAAGGTTCCCTTAGTCAACTTTAGTATCACATTCCACAAATAGTCCTTCAAACTTTCTCCACAAGTACTTATTGACTTCAGTGGGACAGGGGATGGCAATGTTGCCTAGTGCATAGAGCGCTGGACTGCGATTCCAAAGACATGGCTTCTAGTCCCAGCTCCGCCACTGACCAGCTGGGTGATCTTGAGCATGTCACTTCATCTCTGTGTGCCTCAGTTTCCCCATCTGTAGACTGGTGCTTTGATATACTTTATAGGTGCATTGAGATCTACTGATTATAAGCCCTGGATATTATTTATGATTATCATTACTATTACTATCTCCTGGTGTAAGGTACTATTCAACTTGAGTATATGTATCAGAATCTGGCCCAAAATGTGGGACTAACTTTTCCTGAATATTTTTAGGGGATAAATATCCCTTTGAAAATTATTTTATTTGGTTATTACCCTTAAAATCCTGTCAATTGCCTTATATAACTCAGGGTCAGATTCTGATACCTTTCCTTACATCTGGGAGCAACTTACTCCACGAGGAATCCCACTGACTTTAGAGACTGCTCATCTGAGCTACTGCACATCAACTTGACTAAGGACTGCATAATCAAACCATAAATAATATTACCTTAAAATTGCAGAATTTCCTAACTATATTGACAGACAGATTAATAGGAAGACTTCAAATTCTGAGGTGCAGTTAATTGGTAATCTTGTAAAAACAACTGTTGATATATTATTTGCTATTTAAAAAAACTGTACATATGGGAGTGAACCAGACTCAAGACAGGACTCTTCCAATCTTATACTGGTGAGTAGCTCTTAGAACTGGTTTGAAATGGGGATTTTTTTCATGGAAAATTTGGACAAAAAAGGGAAAAAATCATATTTGGTCTATTTTTTGGAGGAAATTTGAATATTGAAAAATTTCATCCAGAAACCAAAATACTTCAGCTGAAAACAAAAATATTTTCATTTGGAAATGCTATCACAATGCCTCATGGTAGTTCAGATGTCTTATGTTCCCATTGTCCTGCATAAGGTGGACTCCCTAGTTGGATTACATCTTCCATGAGGTACCACCATCTCCCCTCTTGGAGAACAGAGGCAATGCATCATGGGAATCCCTGCATATGGTGCATCATGGGAGATGTAGTTCACAAGGAGGAGTCTAGCTCATAGAGGAGACAAGGAACATGAGGCACCTACACTACAGTTCCTATGAGACACCACAGAGGCATATTCAAATAAAAATATTTCACTTTTCAACTGAAATATCTTGCTTCTTTGAAGAAAATTGGAATTTTCTATGGATAGCAGACACTTGTGAAAAATTTCATTTAGTCAAAAACCGAATTTTCTGTCAAAAAACAAGTCTGGATTGGGATTTTTCAACTAGCTCTAGTAGTCACCCCTACTAGGTGGATTTTGACACTATGATTTCAACTCCTTTAAAGTACACTAATAAAAAGCATTTGATCTACATTTGTTTTCCTTTCAGTGAGTCAGAGCAATGATTCAGACTGTATCTATATCTGCGTGATGGCAGGCCGAACAGGTAAATGTAGAACTTATCCCTTCCGAGACTATAACCCTTACACTTACAGCACTGATTGATTCAAGAATCTACTGCTTTAATCCGCTTTGTTATTTCTGTGCATGTGTTTTTGCAGGCAGAAATATGTCTGACTTTTGGGAAATGATAGAGAAATCTCCTGTTATTAATTACACATTTTCCAGTAATATGTCTGCGCTCCTGGGTAAGTACATCCTGAAGGAAGAAATGAATAACAACAAGTTTTCGTGTTACCACTGCAATGAATGCAGAGATTTACTTGTCTGTTTATCCTACACATTAACCACAGGAAACTGTGTATGAGTTAATGCAACGCTGGCACATCACCAAATTTAGGGTCAGATTCTTCATCCATTGAAGGCAAAACTTTTATTGATTTTAGTGGGTGAAGTGTCTGGCCAGGGCTGGATTTACACCTTACAAGCCCCTAGGCACAGCATCTTCAGAGCCCCCCTGCCTACAGCTGACCTTCGTGTTCCACCCAGTTTTAGAAAGGTAAGGCCTCCCTAGAACGCCGGCGCCCCTAGGCACATGCCTATTGTGCCTAATTGGAAATCCAGCCCTGGTCTGACCTTTATGACCTAATCCAAAACTCATTGAAGTCAATGGGGGCTTGTCTACACTACCCGCCGGATCGGGTCTATACTAGACGCGATAAATCGACCGCTTAACGCTCTCCTGTTGACTCTGGTACTCCACCAGAATGAGGAGCATAAATGGAGTCGACGGGAGAGTGTCCGCTGTCGACTTACCACAGTGAAGACACCGCGGTAAGTAGATCTAAGTACGTCGATTTCAGCTACGCTATTCATGTAGCTGAAGTTGCGTATCTTAGATCGACCCCGCGCAGTAGTGTAGACAAGCCCTGGGAATCTTCCAATTGATTTCAGTGGGCTTTCAATCAGGCCCTTAAGTGGGGATAGGTACTGAGCATACCCATAGTCCTTTGACTTCCTTGGGGACTGTAGATGTTCAAAACATTATAGGATTTGATTCAACAGCACTACTATGGCCTTGAATTTGCTCTCAGAAAGCACAAATAATTAATAGAAAATAATAAGAAGATTGATTAGATGTTCATCTAATGCTTTATCCTTTGAGTGTGGTCTTAAGTGCCTGGTATAAGATTTAGGAAGTGTCTGTGGTTTGCTTACTGAGAGAAAAGAAGCCAGAGATATATATTTCTAATTTGGATACAAAAGCATAGTCATTTAAGGGAAAGGTGTTGCATTTACCCCAGTTGGAGATATGGTGGGGAATTTGCACATCTCTTTGAAAGGTGGGAGATAATGGAGAGGTGTCTAGTGGATGCGTGACATGCTGGTACCATGTTTAGGGGCAGAAAAGGAGAGTCTTTTCTTTTATGCACCACATGAGTGTGGTGTGAGAGGTAGGTGTAGTCATGACCCCATGACTATCAGGTGTCTTCTCCTGATGTTTGGAGGGACTAAGATGTGGATGGGAGGTGAGGGAGCTAGCATTCTATCTAGCAGTGAACTTGTCAGTCGCTGCAGCCCAGTCTCTTCCTATAGAGATGAATGGATGATATTTGGTATCTAGTATAGTCTGTAAGGTTTGTAAGACACTTGTGTTCATTCCATAGATACGCATCTGGGAAAGTAAATCAAGGTGAATTTCCCCGAAATAACAAACACTTGTATGAAAATAGGATCTCCAGAGCTAGGAACTGTCAGTACCAAAACCACACTAAATCTACTGCACTTGATTTAAAGGGCTAACTCCATTAACTCTCAGCAGTAATAAGCTCTTATCTTCTATGTGAGCTAGCCACTAGAGGGGGATAAGACACACTTGGCCAGTTGCTACAGTAACACCTGTTGTAGTAACCTAAACTGCATGGTAGATTGAGCTACACCTAAAATAACAAATGGAGATATCCTAGAACTGGAAGGGACCCCAAAAGGTCATGAAGTCCAGTGCCCTGCCTTCACTAGCAGGACCAAATACTGATTTGGCCCCAGATCCCTAAGTGGCCCCCCCTCAAGGTCTGAACTCACAACCCTAGGTTTAGCAGGCTAATGCTCAAACAACTGAGCTATCCCTCCCCACAAACTGTTAGCCCCACGCTGCCGCTGGTGAATTGATCTTCTGCTCAATATGAACATCACAAATATTATAAGTGAAGTCAATGAGAATTTTACCTGTGCATGATTAAGTCCAAGAGAATTATTTCTCCTATTTAACAAAACAGTAAAAACATATAGACGTTTTGCCCAATAGCTACTTTTCTTTCAAAGACAATGGTTGTTTCTCTTACACCAGAACTAGATCTAAACCCATGTGTTTACATATCCAAATGCTATCAAATTTGTTTTAGATTATGAGCATGATAGGATACGACTAACTCTAACTTTTACTAACTAAAAGATATAGACTCAATTCTTCCCAGCTTAATGACCTTACAAGAAGACCCTGACAAGATCATGGACGAGCTCCCTGAAGACATTTGGACATTTAAAAGTACGCAAGTATCCTCAGAGCTAAATATTGAATCTCCTGGGCAGACTAGTTGAAATGCATTTATCTCTCTTGTTTGGTTCGCACCACTGTGTGCTCGGTGCAGGACAAAATCTAGAGAAAGGCACAGCCTTTTCCTAAAGCACAAGATATGTAAACTGGAGAAACATTATACATCAGGCTGATAGTGTCGGATTGGGGATTCGAAGTTCTGTGCACAGAGTGGCCCAAAGTTTCTTTTTAAATAACTTCATTGTTCACAGAAGAAATGTCTTAAGGAGGGATGTGAATTAAGGAAATGTGGTTGCAGGGCATGTAAGATGGAGGAGACTGTTCAAGATGCTTCCCAAATCTCACTCATTCTCCCCATAAACCCCTCCTTCCCACCAGTCTGTCTCCTCTTTCTCTATCTAGCTATCAAAGGTACTTACATGGCCTCCGTTACAGTCTTCAATGTATTTATCCTCAAAATACCTTGTGAGGAGGGAGCGCTATTTATCCCCATTTTACAAATAGGGAACGAATGCACAGAGAAGCTAAGTGACTTTCCAAGGAGACTCAGGAGGTCTGTGGCAAAGCAGGGATTTGAACCACATCTGCCAAGTCTTAGGCCAGGGCCCAAGCTACTGGACCATCTTTTCTCTCCCAGCTATTTCTAAATATTCATCTTTTTCCTTCTCGCAGACACTTTTCTCTTTATCCCCAAACCCTTTCCCTTTTCATGTCTCTCAAGCCTCTGACACCAAACCTTCACTGTCTTTCATATTCCCAGTCTCAACTCCCTCCACCCAATTTCCCCAATCCCTCTCAAATCCCAGTTTCTGTCCCCCCCACTCCCACCAAACTCATCCCTCTTCTTTTTCCCCACATGCCCTTCACACGATTCCCCCTCCTTAACCCTCACCTCTTAGCTCAGCAGTAGAGCTGGTGAGGAAACAGTAGAATTATTTTCTAGGGGAAAAAACTAAAAAATAACATTTAATTACCCCCCCCCTTTTTTTACAATAAACAGAAAACTTTTCAGTAAAATGTTTGTTTTTGAAAACTTTTTTGTTTTTTTGTTTTTCCACTCAGAAAACAGAAAATGTTGAATGAAATGAAATTGTACCATGCATCCATCTCTCCCCTGGCCTCGCTAATGAGGTTGAGTAGTTGCCATTCAACGTGTACTAGGAATCAACAGGTTTTACCATATGTACTGTAGGCATGACTGTTCCCCAAAGTGTTATGCTCGCCATTTTCTGCATGTTTTGGCATTGGCTGTGCTGCAGTAGAAGTGTACATCCATGTGCAATCAGATAACATCCTTCCTGCTCCTTTATGGCTTTAGCGACAAGGATGCCTTCCTGGGAACAGACTGTTGCATGGAAAGGAGATGAAATCCTCTCTACAAGATTTCCCACATGGCCAAAGACTGTTGGTTTGAAAGGATCCGGATTTCCAATTCTACAGCTGCCCTTGTGGTTACAGACAGATGCTTCAAAAGGACATGGCACTACAAGGCTGCCTCCTACTACCATGGAAAGCTATGATATTTTACCCCAAATGCAGCCATCAAGTGAGTTCAGAGAATGGTCTGCTGTGATCAGATGCCTGGGAACATAAGGGGCTCTCACTCACTCAGTAGACTATGTCCTTTGCTTATACATCTTCAGTGAGGCTTAAAGGCCAAATCCTGCTCATGTGATCACTCAGCTTGTCCTCCCTGCCTGTGTAGGGAGTGCATTGGAGCAGCAGCTGTGGAGGGACTCTTCAGGCACTCTGGAGCCCGGGGAAATTATTCTTTCTTGGCCCAACTTCCTACCCTCTGCAGAGCTACTCAGGGGCTGTGTGCTGGAAGGAGAATGTGGGCTTAACAGGATGGGGAAGGGAGAGAAAAACAGCTCCTGTTAGATCCAGCCATGGATTTTCTGTGGCCCCCCAATCCACTGAAATGTTACTTCCTGAGGAAAAGCATCAGGCTTCAGCTCGCTGCCATCTTGAGAAAACAGTCCTCAAATTCAACAAATTACATCAGCCCCCGCCTCGCCCTGTCATTTTCAGGGAGCAGTGTCCCAGGGGTGCAAAGAACAACAGACACTCTTCTTCTGACCCTCCAGACATTAAACACCCCAGCCTCTACCCAAAAACCTGAGCATAAGAAGGGAAGAGAAGCGAGTTAGGTTGGTGGTACCTCAAAAGGCCAAACGAGAGCTAGTGTGTGCATATAAGGGCACAGCTTGCCCACCCAGAGATCAAAGCTCCCACAAACATCAGCAGCATCCAGCACATGTAACTTTTTGCTTCCATACGTGTCAAACTTGACAAATTTCAAGTCAGATGAGGAAAGAGCTTGGGCCATGATTTTCAAAAGTGACAAGTGATTTTTCATGGAGATGGTTCGATTTCGATTAAATTGTGGCAGAATTGGCACACACGTGCCTGGTTTCCTGCCAGTTTTCCCTTCCTGCTCTTTGGCAGCCCACGCAGGGGTCTATTAGGGAACTGAGAGCCTGGAAGCCATGACTCCTAAGCCCAATTGGGGACAGAGGGCTTCCAAGGTCAGGCACTCTTGAGCAGCCCATCATGCAGGCTCCCCATGAACCAGAGCCCCAGGGCTTCCAAGGTCCCTTGGTGGACTGCCCTTGAGCTGGGGCACCGTTCTCTTTCACAGAGAATTTCTAAACTTTGGGTTTTCATTCCAAATTGGAACAAAAACTAATTCTGAAATATGAAGCGCCTCCACGAAATGGAATGACCTCTCTCCATGCAGCTCCAGTCTCAAGTTGGACACGCAAAAATCACTCGATGTTTTTGAAAATCTAGTCCATAATTCTTTCCCATAGACATATATTATGTGACGCATATTGAATTAGCTCTGAAATCTGGCTGGACAGTTTAATATACGTTCTTTGTTTCTGCAGCGGGTACCTCTTCACCAATGCCCTCCTTCTCTGCTGAACAAATGCAGGATTTGCCGAAACTTCTTCCTCTTTCTAGTGAGGAGATTTCATCATTGTAGGGGAGCTACGCAAAATTATTGGGACTGTCCTACAGCAGCTACTTACCCAGCCAAGGCCTCCATGCTTCTGACTCTTTCTTCAGCCTTCTTCACTCCATGCCAGCCACTTAGCCATCAGCCACTTTCTGTTCTTCTCATGCCCGGGCCTTCTGCCACGGTGGCTTGTATGCCTGGAAAGTCCTCTCTGACATGCTCCCGGCCTTTTTAATTATGCTAGGGGGCTTATTGTAAATCCATATCTACCCACACCTAGTTCGTGACCTGCCAAAACCACGGGACTAACAATATGCATGTTGAACTTCACCCTTCATCATCTCCCCATATTTTATATGCCATCTGGTTCATGGGGGGCAGGAGTCCTGTGTCTTTATCTATAGCACACCAAGCATGCTGTTGGCATTATACAGGTAAGAAATCATAACAATTAAAATGATATTGAAACATGTTTGGTTTTGTTCCCATAGCTGAAATGTATCCATTCTGGACACAGCCAGCTTCTCCTGAAGTAACCAAAGTATTTATCCAAACGGAGTCGGGTAAGTTTATTTCTTATGTACAAGACTGAGGTAGTTTTGAGATAACCTGTAAAGAATGCTGCCTGGTACATTTATGATAGAGGAATTAATTAATTTGTCCCTGTATGTGGGCTCATACATACACACATATATAAACAGATGATTTGTCAAATGTGTAATTCTATGTGGTCTACTGATCCTTTACTGAACCTGCCATATGTTTCTATTAAAATGTCAGGGCCTGATATATTCTTTTCCTCCCTTCATTTATAACAGATCTGCCTTCATTATTGTTGTCTACCCCTGTATACAAGCCTGAAGTGTTACCAAAACTGCATACAGCTTCCAGTAAGTACCTGCTCTCTGCAGCAAAACATGGAGGTACTGACCATATATACCTGCTCAGATTTCCTCAGGTGAAAATGTGTTTTAAATATGTGATAGTGTGTCATATTTTGATGTTACATATATTTGTGTGCTCCCATATATAAAAGGGGCCACTTTCACTTTGGTTCCATTTGTGAGTCATGTAACTCTAATATATAAAACATGTTACTAAAAAGGCATTCACCTATGTGTTGGTTTTAACTTTGGGGAGAATCTGAAAACTCCCTTATCCAAAAGAAAATAGCATGCTTCAAATACTCCTACTAATAAAAGTCAATCGCTGTTGCTTTACACACGACATGTAATCTAGAGAAAGAAAATCAAGACTGTTTACCAGTCTGGCAGTCCCTAAGCCTCAGGATGAGGCCAACCTCCTTCGGTGATATAAATATCAGCACATCAAGGATGCCCGTCAGGGGCTAGATTTTCACAAGATTTCAGCACATTAGGTATGTAGCTGGGGCCACAAGTATCACAATGAGTGCTGAGTACTTTTGAAAATCTGGGTCCTATTTAGATGCCTAGAAGGAGCTCTCTTGAAAAATCTGGGCCCAATTGTGGGTGCTGAACCCATGAACATCTGGCCCTGAACTCTTTTAGGAAATTAGCCCCAAGTCATCTAGACCAGAGTTGACAACTGGAAGACATAGTAGCTTAGAAGTAGACTTAGGCTAAATCTGCACAGCAAATCAAGTTAAAGCTTTAAACATGATTCAGGGAGGAGAAGGAAACTTCTGCTTTTAAACACAACAGCAGCCAGAAATATAGGAAATCTGACGGATGTTTGCCAGTGCTTATCATTGGAAATGAGTAAACTTGATGAGGACAGCTCTATCCATTATACTGTATGCTTAAGATAGGAAGAAACATGTCTAGTGTGACTGCTGAAGTGGAAAAGTAAAAGCAACTATGGCCACATCTTGGCATCCTTTTTTAAGCACAACTCCCATTGACTTCAGTAAGAGTGTGACTCTTAGAATAGAAACAGAAACTCATGACAAACATAAAGACTTAAGCCAACATCCCATTCCATTTCAATTAACCCACACTCCAAACCCCATCCTGTCTTCCAACCAGGCAACTATTTAGGTAGGGGGTGTGGATCCACACTTTCTCCAAGTTCAGGAGTGAGGCTTTATCTGGGGTTTTATCTAGTTCATTTTAGAGCCAGCCCCAAGCTGAGAAATTCTGAGCTGAATTTGAGCTCTCTCTCAACGTTCAGGAGGTGACTGGATCATGGGTTGTATTTCTGGCTCATCACTGCCTTGGTTGCAAATGATTCATGGAAGAAATACAGGCGATGAAAACAAGGCCAAAGGAAACGTTATTGATAGTGTACAAAAATAATTAACGCCGCATCTTGAAGCTTCATTCCCTGCTGCGGTTCTTGTCCCTGCTGGTTCCACATTTAGGCCTCAGTATGTATAGCTACATACTCCTACTTGAGTCTCCTGGCTGCGGTGAGCCATACGGAAGCTAAGGGAAACCAAACTGTAAAGATGGTTTCCCCAGCTGCAGTCAGTGACTGGCAAAACTCAAAGGGTTATTGAGGTTTGGGCTGGAGAAGGACTCAAGCATTTAGAATAATCTTGATCTATGGGGGTGCCTCATATGGCAGAAGAGTGGAATTTGGTGGTTTGAGGGTTTTTAATCTTGATTTTCACTTGATCTTAATTCCTTCCCTGGACTGGAATGTGAATACCTCATTTTAAGATTGTATGTTGATTTAGGCTAAACATTTTCAGAGCCACTAAAGTTAATGGGAATTTGGCATCCAAGTCCTACAGGCAGCTTTGAAAAACTGAGCCTTAATCTCACTTTATTTGACTCATATAAGCTATCTTTTGAGAGCAGCCACTGAACTCAGTTCTCCAATGATACCTGTTTTTATAATGTGACTTTCAATCTGGAGCACCCCAGAGTGCCTTTTCAAAGGGCTCACTTCAGCCACCTCTCGGGTGGAACATGAAAGCTGTTTAACAGTGCACAGCAATGCTGCACAACCATGTAGGACAAGTTGTGAAAAAGAAAAGCATGTGTGACTGGAACAGTGGAAGGAATTTAATTAAGCATGTAAATTCCCCAGTTAGAATCTAGCCAGGACCCCAGTGGCTCATTCAGAAAGTGCCATAGGATATTTGATGACCATTCAAGACTTGATTCTACTGTTCATCATACAGCAGTGCAGCACAGTGCCCCCAGACTGATGCTAGCAACTTTGGCTAGTCAGTAATGCAGAGAAAAGAATGTGACCTACTGAATCATCAAACCACGTACCACAGCACCAAGTTAGTCTCCTGACCAACTGCTGACCCGTCCCTCTTTAGTTTGGTGCAATATGACCTGGTCCTGGCACTTTAGTCAGGCACGTAACGCTCTAAGTGCATCTTAGTATATTTTGTTCATTTGTTTTTTACCTGTATGGGAGTTTGAAGCCAGTGTTCTTTGCTCTCAGCCATTTTTTGTGGTTTTTCCCAAATGCTTGGTGCAATATGACCTGGTCCTGGCACAAGGTGGAATGGCTGCTGACGTTTTGCTGGTGCTTAATAGATTTTGAATGGTTTTTTTCCCTCTCCCACTTGATTCACACCAATTTCCTGCCTAGTTACCAGCAAATTCCAGAAAGGTTACTTCTCTTTTCATTATTCATACTCATTTAATTCTCATTCTCATTTTTGAGAATAGCTCATAATGCCTGTCATGGACCTTCTTCCAATCAGGCAATGCATCTCTCAGTCTGAAGACTGCCACCACAAAGCACACATCCACCTCTCCTCCCCACATGTATCTCTGCTTCCCACTGCCCCCTGCCTACTTTCAGTCTACCCACCCTACTCTCCTTCCTCTCTATGCCCAGCGTGGCCACCACCCCACTCTCTGACTCCCTACTAGTCTTTCTCCCCTTGGTCTCCAGCAGCTGAATACTCCTCATCGTGACCTACCCTGTCATGCTGGTACTCTTTACCCTGTGCTCATCCACAGGTAACCCCCGTCATCCCTCTCAGCTGCTGCGGATAGCTGCTCCATTCCTGAATTGCCATGGTCAAAAGCCAGGAATGATGGGCTGAGTGTACTTTCATTCTTCCCGCCCCCATGTTAATATGTGAACTGCTTTTCCATGACATGAAATTCACTCATCCTGTCTGCTAATTAAAGCCGGTTAGGGTGATGTGATGCAAATGTATCCCATGTTCTTTATATTTCAAAGCACTCAATGAGCCAGACTCTGATCTCTCCCGGTCCTGTTTTGCTCCGCTTTGTGTTTTGTTCTTCAGTTATAAAGTGCTCCTGAGAAAGGAAATTTGGTGGATCCCATGAGGCTAATTCATGTGATCAAAATGAAATGATTTCTGTGTTCCCACAGAAAAGCCGGGCTGTCGGGCATGGCCGCAGCGTTTCTGCTTTGAGCCAGACCTTTTCTGTTTCGAAGGGTGATATTAACTTCCGAGAGCTGCTGTGCCTGAGAAGTTAAAACAGATGTTCCATGGTTCCTGATGATAAATGTAATTTTATTGTGAGGGAGGGCAAGGTAGGGCGAAGAACAACCAACCCAGCATTCGGAAGTCAAATAAGTGGTGGGAATGGGGCATCAGGCAACTGGCACAGGGTTTCTCAAAGCCACTTTCTGTAAATGGAATCCAAAGAGGCTTTCTGCAGACAGGAGTGATTCCACAGAATGTGGGTTGTGGTGTAATGAAGTTTGAGAACCGCTGTATAATGAAGAGCTATCTCCTACACTCTGTATCCAGCATTAGAAAGTAAAAGTATGCAGTAAAATTCCTGTATCCATCATTTGGGGAAGGAGGTGGGAAATGAGGTGAGTGAGTGGGAAACATGTCCAGCTAATCTGTGGGTTGTAACCATTTCCATAAACAGTAATTGAGGGCTTCTCTTATGAAGACCCATGGGTGGGTTTGAGCACATAGGAAATTGAATATCTCTGTGGTGTGGATAAATAGGTACCAATAAAGAGGTACCAATACAGTTCCAAAGGAGACAGGGGAGGGACACTTTGTGGAGGACTTTGTGATAGATTAATTGGAAGCATATGGAAAAATAAAACACAATGTTTTGATATTGTCAAAAGAAATCGTAGTAGCTTGAAATGGGTTTTTAATAAATCTGAATAGCACAGAACTTCCTGTGATAACTGCTTGGTCAAAATAGGGGCAGCAATATGAAGTACTAACGGTGTGGGCTGCAATCAGTTTTTTAAGGCAAACACTGCTTCCTTGTGGCCCTTTTGTGCTAATGGAGCTGCCTGAGAGATCGAACTGGCACGTTGCATTCCCTATGCAAATGTCTCCTAAGCAGCATGATCAGGGAAGGTAGAGAGGTTTTTTTTTTCAGCAACCCCTGGGTTTTTCATGCAGAGACTTGGAAACAAAACCTTGGTTCAGATTTACTTGGCAGTCTAACAATGATATTTCTGATTCAGGAAAGCTCTTGCGCATACCAACTCATACTGTCTTCGGCCGTCTGGTTATTGATTCACAACGAGCCCTTCTCTAAATGTGGGCGTGTGCATGTATGTCGTGCAGCTGCTACTGCAAACATCCAATTTTCTTTAGTCAGGCACGATCACACTTCTTGGGAGTGTTAACTCTCTAAGTGCGTCTCAGTATATTTTGTTCATTTGTTTTTTACCTGTATGGGAGTTTGGAGCCAGTGTTCTTTGCTCTCAGCCATCTTTTGTGGGTTTTCCCAAATGCTTGGGCACTGTATTTGCACTTTTCTTATTTTAATAGTACTCTCTCACCTGCGCTACACTACACGGTTAGATTGACACAAGGCAGCTTATGTCGACCTATCTGTCTATCTGTCTTCACTTAAATTTGGCTCCCGTCGATGTAAGTGTCCTGCTACGCCGACTTAACACCTGAGCGGCAGACAGCCAGGGTTGATGTAGTTAGGTTGGTGCAGTGATAGTGTAGATGCTGTGTTACTTACGTCATGTTACT